TTAAGTAAGGCCCTGCAATCGTTGATAGAGATCACAGTAGTAGTGACTAAGAACAAATCATTTTCTCATCACAGCTTTCATCTCTTCCCAAGTGTCAACAGGACGTTCTCGATTTCTACGTCAACTAAGCACAAGCTGATCCCACCACACCACAGCGTAATTAGTAAATTCCACCGCTGCTAGTTTCACCTTTTTCTCCTCAGAATAGTTATGGCAATCCAACACCAATTCCACCTTCTTTTCCTACTCCAAATACACATCTAGATCATTTTTGCCTTGAAACGGAGGAATCTTCATCTTGATGCTGCCTAAGTCATGATCTTGCCAATCTCCCCACCTTGCCAGATTTTGGTCTCCTTTGTTAAATCTATATCTTTGACCCCCTCTATCTCTCATAAATCTGCCCATGCTGAAATTTGAGTTCTGGGCGTCATTGTTGAATGCATCTTTATAATTGTCATCGAAATCATCATTAGCATCATTCCTACGCAAATTCGGACTTCCATTCTGTGTTTGGTATAACTTGGCTATTGCTGCATCTTGCTTCTCCATTTTGTCTTTAATCTCACCAAACATGATGTCCAGCCTCTGAAATTGTTGTTGCATTGCTTTGAGCATGAAGGATTCATCCACATGGTGGCCTTTAGTGGTTGATTTGTCATCACCGCTTGACATGATTGAAACCTGCAACAAATGTTAAAAACAGATGAATAAAAAGGCCTTCACAACACTCCCTTACATGTTTCACTCCACTCTCTCACAGAATGGCACTCAATGCTCGTGTTTTACACACTGTAGAACTTGGCTTTTCTCTCAAGTGTTGCTCACACCTGATGAGAACCCCAAAGAGAACAATGAGACCCACAGCACGACAAGGGATTTCTAAACACCAGGAAAGCTAAATGAGATTTATAATAGGACCTTGACCTGTTATTTTTGTTGCAACAAGAACCGAAGGTAAAAAACCTTGACCCTTTGTCTATGACGCAACAAGAACCAAAGGTATAAAGTTGGTTGATGCCACACCCTCGAACGATTAAGAACGAGAATGATAAGTCATGTTAGAACGCCACAAGAATAATCTTGATAAGTTCTGTAAGGTTCTTAAACGAACCAAAGAGAAAAGTCTCTCAAAAAATCAGATTCAATCAACTCCCCCTCATTAGGGTTACAAGCCTTTTAAATAGAGAAAACAAATCCTAATCAGAATAGGAAACTATCACCCTAAGTCCTAAACCTAATAACCATGAATTGGGCTTCAAATAAGCGAATGTTCAGCCCAAAAATAATACAAAAAACGTGAAAATCACTAAAAATAACTGAAAATAACACGAAATATCAGTTTGTTACAAATTGCGGCAGAATTGTGCGATTTTGACGCAAACTGTGTAATTCGGCGCACATGACCTCAACTAAGCTTCTCTTGAACCTGAATGATGTTTACCATGCCTTGATAATCATCCAAGCTTCGATTTGCTTGTTGTATGTTGTTTTCAACCCAGATCTGCTCAATAAGGCCATTTAAATCTTCACGCATCTTCTTAGCTCACGTGACTGGTCCTCCTTGGGTGTGTAATGGATCACATGATGTACTAAATATGCTGTCGTCTTGATTCCCATCAACACCTCTTGCCTTTTTTCCTCACTCAACTTTCCTCTTTCAGTTCATTATTGAACTAAACAAGCTCAATTCAAGTTATTTTGCAGCAATCTAACTCCAACAAATCTGCAAGAGTTAAAGGAAATAGAAAGACACAAAGGAACGAACAAAAAAAGCAATAAAAGAAGCAAACCCAAACAAATTAAAACGAACAGATTAGTTCAAGCACTTCCTAGTAGGAATTGACTTGACTATTCCTTAATGCAGTAGGATTCCTAACTTGGGAAAAAATAAACAAAATTGCTATCTCCTTGTTTGAATAGAACTCAAAGAGAATTTCCAACTCCTTATTGGAATAGGATTCCTTCTTCTTTAAGGATTTGGTCATAGATAAGGAATTCCAACCATAGAATTGTGTTGCTTGTTTCTCTCTCTCCTTTTTTTTTTTTGCGTCTTTTTTTTTTGGTGATTTTTGTCTCTCTCTCTCTCTCTCTCTCTTTTTTTTTAAACCAGCAACATAGATTCAGAAGAGCAAAATAAGAAAAAGAAGAATGACACTGATTTTTTTTTTTTTTTGTTTTTTGAAGATAAAAACTGAAAATTAAAGATACGCAAACCTGATTTAGGGATCTGATGCTCTGATACCAAGATGATGAGAACCTCAGAGAGAACAATGAGACCCACAGCA